ATATAGAGTGGTGGTTGCCAGGGGCTGAGGGATGGGAGAAATGGAGAGATGTTGGTCAAAGGGTATAAACTCTGGCTAGATGAATAAGTTCTGGGGATCTAATTAATAATACCATATTATATACTTTAAAGTTGTTAAGAGAATAGAACCTAAATGTTATCACTACATGCAAAAAAATAGTAATTATGTGAGGGAATATAGGTGTTAACTAACATTTTATGGTAATCACTTCACAATATATACGTGTATCAAATAATCATGTTGTACAATATATATATACATGTTACTGATTTTATAATATATATTACTGATTTTATTATATAGTATATATTTATTTATTATATATTATAGATACAGATATCAATAATATATGTTATATATAGGTCCTAAAATTATATCTATATTAGATATAGATATCAATAATATATGTAATATATAGGTTGTACAAGTATATATATAATATATAGTATGTATACAGATATAAATATAGATATATCAATAAGACTGGGGAAAAAAGAGACTTGTTTAGTGATAGCATCTCACAGGAAACAGAATTTATGGGACAGAGATTCAATCCTAAATCTGATGTGTTTTCTCATACTTTGCTGAAAGAGGTGTTAATGGACTGGATTAAGTACAATAGCTCTTCCAGAGGAATCCTGTTTGCTCAAGGAAAAGAAAAAATAGCAGCACAAACAGGAAGACCTCTGGTGACACAGTATACATTATACTTCTCTTTATTAAAGACCAGGAAGATTTAACTGAGCAAAAAGATTTAACAAGGTGACAATTTTGCTTTTCCAACAGAATTCCATGGTGGCTGATTTTTGAGAAAGAGGGGATAAACATTCAGAGGGAGAGACAGACAATACCTCTTACATGGCTTTCCCAAGGGAAAGAGTCATACAGTTGTGTTTTTGAAATACATATGTGAGTGTGGTGGGTTGGAAGTAGGGAAACAGCTCTGCAAAGTGGACCATGAGCCAGGATAGCTGGATGGCAATGAATGGACTGGTCCTTAACAACCACAAGGAGAAGAATCACTTGGAAAGAGGTAGACCTACAAGAGAATTTTAAGAAGGTTTCCATATAATTCACTGCAGAAGACCTTTACCTCTCTAAATTACTCAGAATTCAATCACAAGAATCACACTAGTTTTTAAATTCAGATAATATAAGAAATTGGTGAATCAATTAGAGATTAAATTGTTGAAGGTTAAATATTGGTTAGGTATTAGAGGACTGGCAACTCAAAATGGGAACTTGGAGCGACAAGATACAGTAAGCTTAGGAAGCAGCCCTAACCCTAGGCTTGCCCACTCTGAACAAAGGGAGATGGGGGGGGATTTTTAGAACCTAGAAACCTACAGGAGGTGTCTCAGGGATCCACCAGAGCTGAGACCTAGACTTCTGAGGGATGGACACTATTCAGCTTGTGCTCACATTTTAGAATCAGTGAGGCTGATTCATTTTTATTCTGAGAATGCCAGAAGAATCCTAAAAGTGGAAGAAACTGTTTCTAGAATCGGAGGGAAGAGCCAGTGGTGAATGACAGACACAGGAATAGCCAGCAAATAGAAAAGAGCAAGTTCTTTCTTCCCTCTCCTGTCTTTTTGCTTCTCCCTGGTGCCCAACAATTGGCCAAGCATAACAGGGAGCCAGATGGCAAAGGAGAAATGTAATTTGCAGAGTATCAGCCCAGCATCACAAAGCCAACGAGAGAAGATGAGAGAAAACTGCTTCACCACTAAGCCACCCCCATGGAAGGACCTGTGGTAATGATACATATTTTTTGCAAAAGCTTTCTCGAATCAGATTTGTAGTTCCCAGATGTGTGAATGACCAGAAAGTTCTCAGGATAGCCTAGCTATGAGAGGTTTAAGCACAGATGAACACCTCTGTATACCCTGTAGCTGCATCTGGCTAAGGAATACAAAATTCCTGAGTACAGTATATTTTAGACCATCTGGTAATTTGCCATCATTCTCTCTTGGTGGCATTATATAATCCTTCCCTGGAGGAGGACCATTCAACCAAATGCAGTGCTGGTTTCTCTTCCTAAGAGCAGCTTTCTTCCTTTTCACAAAGTTTGTGCTTCCCTATCAGCCAACTGGATAAAATACAAGACGACATAAATATGGTGAGCAGGGTTGACCCTTTCCCCCATAAGTCCAACTACGTTGTGCATCTGAATGCATATGAAAGCTCCATGTTGACCCAGAGATTTTGTTCAGGGGTTGCCAAGGTACAGGAGAAGAAACACCTCTGGGGATTCATACGAATATTTTTCTTAGTGCCAAGATGCTGCTCCCACCTCACTTGTGGGGTGCTGACTGGAGCCTCAGCATTCACAGACAGTCCAGTTCACGGTCTCCCAAACCTGTACGTGCCTCATTCGACTGTCCTCTGCTGTCTGCTCCCTCTTCCCTGTATGTTTTAAGGTCCCTGGCTTACCTCGCTGTAGCCCTTCCATGACCCTTTCTTGTCCCTCAATTGTCACTTCAGTTGTCCGGCCTTAACTTCCTTTCTCCAATTCTCTGTTTTTCACCTTGGTTTCCGACTGCTTCTTTGTGCTCAGCCCTTTCTTTCCCAAACAACTACGCTGCCTGAATCTTAGACCACAGGGTCCCGTTTCATCAACCCACCCCCGCCCCCCCAGCATGTGCGTTCACACCGCTTCGGCCTCCTCTGTGTCTCCAGAAACCTTTCCTCAGTATTTGTGGTGGAGAGTCTCTGTGAGTCTACAGATCCTGCACCTTCATTATCTGCCTGTTGATCTCAGATTCCCTGGCCTCCAATTTCCTGTCTTCCTTCTTCTCTTTTATGCAATGTTCACTTCCCAACTGTCTCCTCCAGATGTTGAATGGATAATTAGAAGAAGGCCCAGCTGCATCTCACTGCTCTCACCATCTTCTTCCTTTCTGGTATTCGAGGTCTTGGAACCTGGACGGCCAGCCCCAGACCACTTCTCTAGGTTCTATTTTGATGTCTTCAATCTTCCTCCCTTAGCTCTAAGAGCCGCCCTTCCATCTGGAGTTGTGGCCCATCCTACTTTCACAGCTACATTTTTATTTTTTAACTTATTTTAACTTAAATTTATGTAAGAATAAAAATTATCCTACTTAAAGAATATCGTTAAATAAACTAGAAGTGAAGGTAAGACACACAGGGTTTATGTTTGGAGAATATTCTCCTGAAGGTCTTCAGATGATTAACAGGGTGAATCCTGGGCCTCGTGCCCCCCTGGACTTCTCTAATAAGAAACATGCCGTTTTCAAGATTCCACTTGAGAAAGTAATCCCTCAGGGGAAAAGATGCTCTAGAGAGCTTTGATAAAGTTGTTGATGCTATTTGGTAATAGTCACGATTTGTCTGAACCCACTTTCAGGGCAAAAAGGAGCCTGAGGCACTGAGCCAGGGCCACAGTCTTGACGGTATGTAGGGGATACAGTGATGAGGAAAAAGAGTCAGGAGCCAAGAGTTATTGCAGAGACGGTGCATGCCTACACAGTTATAGCGGAGGCAAGGATTCAAAATAGTTAGCAGAGAGAAACACATACACAGGGCAGAAGCGCTAGAACCCCGAAGAACACAGATCGGAGCAGGAAGGCTAAGGATGGTGAGAATTGGTGCTACCTGACGCTCTCCAGCACGGAAAGATAACAACAGGTACTTTCCTTGGGCTGCTGTGGTCCCAGCCTTCCCACAGCTGGAAAGAAGCTGTTAAGAGCGTGGAGGTCACGCAGTTAAACACCACCAATAATAGCAACGTTGGTAACTGCCAAAAGAAACAAAGCATTTAGGAAAAACCCATTGAATATAAGAAGGCTTTGTCACCGCTTAATGATTTGCTGAATAAAACAGCTCTTCATTTTCTTAAAGTTTTCAAGGTGCTTTCCAGACGTGGAGAAAATGGTGAAGCAAATGGTCTAATAGTAGTTTCTAGTGTTGTGATCCATGCGCTATCGGTTATGAAGTGATTCTTCAGTAGCCTTCTGAGAAACAGCTGAAATGTCCAGTCATTAACAGTATCAGACAGCAAGTAGCAAGGAATTCAGCAAAGCTCTCAAGTGACACTACTGTAAGATTGCACTTCCGTTCTCTTTTTCCTCCTCTACCCCCATCCTCGCCCAAAGTGAGAACTTTGGAATCTTTTGACTCCTTTCCTCTCTCTGCCTTCACCCTCACATCAGTATTTTATTTCAGGAAATGTAATGCTCGCATCTCTAGGTTATTATCAGAAATTCCCTTCCAGTATAGAGCGACTAATCCATGTGGACCATTCCCAGACACTTAGATTAACTATGTATTTATAGCTCTTTGTTGATCACCTCTATTTCTTCCCAGTTGCTTTCGTTATGCGGTTTTGGTTCTGGTGTTTTGCTTGTTTGTTTGTTTGTTTGTTTGTGTGTTTTGGTTAGTTTGTTAATATTTTGTCATTATTTTCCCTGGAAAGCGTACTTCACAGTATATTTGGGACTCTGAACTTTCTTTTACTCTTACAGCTAAGTAATGGCTTGGGTGGGTTCAGTCGTTCTTCCCAGTACTAGGAGATGTTATTCTACTGTCTTCTAGCTTTAAATGTTGCAGATGAAAAGTGATGCTTTTCATTTATGGATTACTTGTTGTTTACAAGATTTTTCCCTTTTTCTTGGATTTCAAAGTTTTTTCCAGGATATATGTGTGTCTTTTTTTTCATGTAATATGCCTATAACACAGTCAGTAAGCCCTTTTTACGTTTTCTCTTCTCTTTTTTTTAATATTTATTTATTTTTGAGAGAGAGACACAGAGCGTGAGTGGGGGAGGGACAGAAAGGGAGACACAGAATTGGAAACAGGCTCCATACTCTGAGCTGTCAGCACAGAGCCCGACAAGGGGCTCGAACCTACAAACTCTGAGATCATGACGTGAGCCGAAGCTGGAGGCTTAACCAACTGAGCTACCCAGGTGCCCCTTTGACTTTTTTCTTCTAACACTAATCCTCCTTTTGATGTTCCAGGTGATTAATTTGGCTATCAACAGTGATCATCCTTTCCTCCAAGTTAATTTTAGTAACAGCCATCCTAACAGGTATGAGGTAATATCCCATTGTGATCTGGGTTTGCGTTTCACTGATGATTGGTGATGTTGAGTACTTCCTCAAGTACCTGTTGACCGTTTGTATGTCAACTTTGCAGAAATGTCTGTTCAGATCTTTTGCTCACTTTTTTAAACTGAGGAATAGCAAATATGAAGGTTTTTTTTTTTTTGGCTATTGAGTTAGAGGAGTTCCTTTATATATTTTGGATATTAGCTCCTTATCAGATAGGTGGTTTGCAAATATTTTCTCCCAACCACCAGTTATCTTTTCATTTGGCTGATGGTTCCTTTTGTGGTGTGGAAACTTTTATGTTTAATGTAGTCCCACTTGTTTATTTTTGCTTTTTTTGCTTTTGATGTCAGATTCAAAAAGTCATTGCCAACACCAATACCAAGGATTTTTCCACCATGTTTTCTTCTAGAAGTTTTATAGTTTCAGATCTTACATTTAAATTTCTAATCCATTTGAGTTGAATTTTGTGTATGATGTGATTGAGGGGTCCAATCTCATTCTTTTGCATGTGAATATCTAGTTTTCCCAGCACATGAAGACTATCTTTTCCTTGTTTTGTATTCGTGGTGCCTTCATTTGAAGATTAGTTGACAGCATATGCAGAGGTTTTTTTCCGGTCTCTTGATTCTGTTCCATTGACCTATGTATCTGTTCTTACGGCAGGACCATACTATTTTGATTGCTGAAGCTTTCTAATATGTTTATTTTTTATTTTTTATTTTTTTTAACATTTATTTATTATTGAGAGACAGAAAGGGACAGACCGTTAGCAGGGGAGGGGCAGAGAGAGAGGGAGACACAGAATCTGAAGCAGGCTCAGGCTCTGATCTGTCAGCTCAGAGTCTGAGGTGGGGCTCCAACTCACAAACTGAGAGATCATGATCTGAGCCAAAGTCGGACGCCCAACCCACTGACCCACCCAGGCGCCCCCTGTAATATATTTTGAAGTAAGGAAATGTAAGGTCTCTAGCTTTGTTCTTGCTCAAGATTTCTTTGGCTAAGTTCAGGATTTTGATATCAGAATATCTTTATGTACTTTATAAATTCCTAAATAAAAGTCAAACTATCCCTATTGTTCAAATGTCCATGTTCATTTGAGACAGTGAATTAAAATACTTAATGGACTGAACTAGAGTTTGGCTAGTGGTTTTAAATCTTGACTTTTAAATAACTATGTGAACTTGAGAAGCTAGGGACCTTCACTTGAATTAGTGTCTTTATCTTTCAACAGGAGATAAGAATGATACCTTCCTCTTAATGCTGCTGTAATGATTACCTATGAATGGCCTAAAATACTTGGCACGTAGTAAGAGCTATATGAATCTTACCTTCATACATCCTCATACTCACTTTTAGCCACTCATATATTAACACACCTCTTGTCCAAGGTAAAGAATCCAGAGTTATTTAAATACACACACCTAAACAGTGACTACCCTGAGTTAAGATTCTATGCCCCAAAATGACAAATTCGGGTACACTCTCTGCTGAAACAATTTTGCACTACTTAGATTAACTTCTGTTTGTGCTATATGTTACAATATTAAAAAAATTATATAAATGTATTATATTGAAATAGTCAATTCTCCCTCTGTCCCCCCCCCCCAAAAAAAAAAAGAAAGAGTCACTTCCCATCAATAACCTTGACTTTTGGAAAACTAGTCGTTTTGGGGTGGGTTTTTTTTTTTTTGCTTTTTTTGTTTTGTTTTGACATTTATTTATCGTTGAGAGACAAAGTGTGAGCCTGGGAGGGGCAGAGAAAGAGGGAGGCACAGAATCCGAAGCAGGCTCCAGGCTTTGAGCTGTCAGCACAGAGCCCTACACGGGGCTCAGACCCATGAACTGTGAGATCATGACGTAAGCCGAAGTCGGACACTTACCCGACTGAGCCACGCAGGTGCCCCATGGAAAACCTATACTTTTAAATGGAATACTACAGAGGTAGGCTTATCACTTACAAGAGAAATATTGAAACCTACTACAGACAAATCTTTTACTTATTTGTTTAAATGCTCAGCATACATCAATTTCCTCTGTGAGAAGCCAAGGTTAGGTTGCAGTAGAAACTACTACTGGAAAAAATAATCTCTACGGAATTTACATTCTCATTGGCAAAATTCAACAAAGGCTAAATGATTTTATTGGGAAGGCCTTCTGGAACTCTGCAAGCATAAGAAATTTTTGTTGTTTATTTGTTGAATACCTAATTGGGGATACAATTATTGTTTTGTACTTCCTGATTCACATCAAATTGCAAAGATAGAAAGATATCTTCTGGTTTAGTGAATTTAAACATAATTTTTAAAGAAATGGTCATAACTGGCATATGAATGTTTACAGAAGTACACATTTCTCAAACTTGTGTGCATTTGTAACAGCAAACTCATCGAACAGAATCTGACTTGGTACCCCTATATATTTAACAAGCAAAAGGAATGAGGCTCCGACTGAAGTTGGAGTGTAGGATACAATTTGTTTAGTTCCTTTTTGCTCAGGCTCCTCTTTGCTCAATTTCCCCACTCTCTGACCATTGGTTTTGGAACAGTACTAGGCAGACAATTGTGTAATTTGCTGAACAAAGGTCTTAACGACAGAGAGCCGTGGATTAGAAGGGCCCTACCTGGAGGACTGCATCACTCTATGAAAACGGGCCACTCTAAGACTTAGTTTTCTTACATGTGAACTAAAATGGGCATCCTCAAAATTGGGAAAACAGGAAATAAATATGTTTTTAAACTGTGTTTGTTTTCCAAATAATATGTTTGATTGTTTTCTTCAACTTCCAAACTTTTAAAGCATTTAAAGTTAACAATATATTTGTCTTATGTGCAGCAACTTTTTAGATACGCCATAAATGCCATCTAACTACAGAATCTGGTGATTTAAGTTATATTACCACCAACAGCATTTTATAATTTTTATGGAATCAATTGATCTGCTGAAACTTTGAGTATCTCTGCTATAGTGTATTTCCTTGTGATTTCATCAACCATTTTATACCCAGAATGTCCTCTCACTGTTAAACATTAACCTTATTTTCCTTTAGGTTTTTAAAAATATTGTTTTATTTGTTACATTGAATTCTTTACTTGAAATTTATCAAACGTAATATGAAGTGAGGATCAAAAACTTTTGTTTTCTAAATTTTCCCAGTAGCATTTAAAAAATAATCCATCCCTTTGCCATTGACGTGTGAAGCTTTCTTTATCATTTTTTAGCTCCCATAAATCTTTATTCCATTTCTTTTAGTTTTTATGTCTCAATTTCTCATAACTTCTTTTTTTATTATAAAGTAACAAGGTGCTTGTGGAAATTTGGGGGAAAAACACAGAAAAACACAAAGAAGAAAATGAAAATTCCCCATAAACATTAAAATTTTGGAGAACTCTCTACTGGTCATATGTATGTATTTACAAAGGCTCCTGTAATGTTTACAAAGGAACAGCCCAAAATCAGGCTCAAGTAAACAAAGATAGTTTCTGGAAAGGATGCACTAGTGTTCTGTAGCATGAAACACAGATGTAAATTTAGGTACAAAAGTCTAGAGAGAGACGCTGGGGCAGTACCTAAGAGCAGAGAAAAGAGCCTGTAAATCTGTAAGTAGGAAAGAACAGGAGAAAGCAAATTCAAAACTCCAGGGGCCATGCACTCTAAAAGTTCTGGGAGAACAGAAATGTCTAGTGAAACATTTTTTTTTTTAATTTTTTTTTTCCACGTTTATTTATTTTTGGGACAGAGAGAGACAGAGCATGACCGGGGGAGGGGCAGAGAGAGAGGGAGACACAGAATCGGAAACAGGCTCCAGGCTCCGAGCCATCAGCCCAGAGCCTGACACGGGGCTCGAACTCACGGACCGCGAGATCGTGACCTGGCTGAAGTCGGACGCTTAACCGACTGCGCCACCCAGGCGCCCCGAGTAAAACATTTTTAAATGGTCTGCTGAGTTGTTTTCCCTATATGATCTTCAGTAAAATCCACACTACTCACTAAAGGTTTTTGTTTGACAAGATTCTTTAGGCAATGGGCTTCATGTTTTTGGTTCACATACTTTAAAATAAAATTTGAAACACAGTGAGAGCATTTTTAGGTTCACATCAGGCATCTTTCATCATGTGAAAGTAGCTTGAAAACGCTTAATTTCTGACAAGTACCAAGTATTGACATTTTAAAACAGAACTATGGTTTATTGGACGTCATAGAATCTAAATTTAATAGCAGTTTGATACCTACCATCATCCACTAAAAAAAAAAAAAAAAAAAAAAAAAAAAATATTTTAAAATTTTAAAAAATAACAAAAAAAAAAAAAAAAAAAAAAAAAAAAAGTCATGAAGACCTTCTTTAACAGTGAAAGTAGTAGTAGGAAAAGAATCTAAAATATATCTCAACTTATTTTAAGACAGACCTGTGTTATGAGAGAATACACATTAAAGGAAATGAAGATTGGGGCACCTGGGTGGCTCAGTCGGTTGAGCGTCTGACTTCAGGTCGGGTCATGATCTCACAGCTCGTGAGTTTGAGCCCCGCATCAGGCTCTGTGCTGACAGCTCAGAGCCTGGAGCCTGCGTCATATTCTGGGTCTCCCTCTCTCTCTCTCTGCCCTTCTCCCACTCATGCTGTCTGTTTCTGTTTCTCAAAAATAAATAAGCATTAAAAAATAATAATTAAAAAAAAATAAAGGAAATGAAGATTTGGAAGTGAATTCTCTTAAAAATATCTGTGCTCTTGGGGCACCTAGGTGGCTCCGTTGGTTAAGCATCTGAGTCTTGATTTTGGCTCAGGTCATGATCTCACATTTTGCGATCTCAACCCCTATGTAGGACGCTGCTGACAGTGCAGAGCCTGCTTGGGATTCTCTCACCCCTCTCTTTCTGCCCTTCCCCTGCTCCTTCTCTCTTTCTCTTTCTCTGTCTCTCAAAATAAATAAATAAACTTAAAAAAAAAATCTGTGCCCTCTTGGAGCAAGAAACAAAGAAGACAACAAAGAAAACAGCTAACAAAAGAAAGATATAAATCCTTCTTTTCTTTCTCTTTTCCTCTGTTTCCTTTTTTTTCTCCCTGTTAAAATGAGCACACATATGTAATTAAATTACATATAATTTTGAATCTTAGAATTTCCACATGGCATTATTTTAGGTTAAGTATTCTTCAAATATGTTATTTTATATTATACTATCATTATTGTATACTGTTATTTATTTTTTAATCTTGAAACACTAATTTAGAAATCTTGCAGGATTGGGGCAATTTATGTTCGGATTTTGGAGTATATAATTTCCAAGTCTTCTATTGGATCTGAACTCAAGTTATTCGCCACTTCAAGTTATTAAGGTTGTGGTTTCTTACCATCTCACTTAGTGTTAATAGTGGAGCTTCCCTAGGTTAGAAAGCCACAAAGTTGGAGTTCTTGCGCATTGCAGTGGCACTCTTTCTAGAATAAATATTTCTCAAGTTTTTGCCTGCGACTTGATGTTGTCCGGTACTTTCAAATGATAGTTTTTTAGTATTTTTGCCCATGTTTATAATTGTTTATTTCTGGAAGAATCCCCTGACTTTTTCTTGCCACTATTATGGAAATTTTGCCTACATCAATATTACTAGATTATTTAAAAAGTGTCTGCTAATTTAATAAAGTGAAACTGCTTTTTTAATATTGTAATTCAGATTACTAGTACAATTGAGCATTTTCTGTGTGTTGACTGGCTATCTATATTTCATCACTGTAAATTATCAGCTCATTTCTTTTGCTATTTTAAAATTCTGCAGTCTTATTTTTTCTTATTGGTTAAAAAGAGTTGTTACTCAGGGCACCTGGGTGGCTCAGTTAGTTAAGCATCTGACTTTTGATATTGGCTCATGTCATGATCTCACAATTTGTGAGTCCCAGCCCTGTTTCAGGCCATGCTTGGGATTCTCTCCCTCTCTCTGCCCCTTCCCTGCTCTCTCTCTCTCTCTCCCTGTCTCTCACAAAATTAACAAAAAGAGGAAGAGTTCTTATTCAAGTATTATCACTATGCCACAATTGTTTGAAAATATACTTCCCTGTTAGCAATTTACCTTTAAATTTTTTATGATATGATTAACATATAAATTGATTTTTAAAGGAGTAACATCTTTACAAATTTGAACCTTCTTATCTAGGGACCCAATTTATCTTTTTATTTATTTGAATTGGTGTTTGTCTATCCTTCTAATAGAATCAGTTTTAGCATGGGTCTCATCCATTACATTTTTAATGTTTCCATTATTGATATTGCTAGATATTGTCATAATGTATTTTTTCATTACTTCTAGCTGTTGTGATTTTATAGAAAAATCATCGGGTGCCTGGGTGGCTTAGTCGGTTAGGTGTCCAACTTTGGCTCAGGTCATGATCTTGCAGTTCATGGCTTTGAGCCTCACGTCAGGCTCTGTGCTGACAGCTCAGAGCCTGGAGCCTGCTTCGGATTCTGTGTCTCCCTCTCTCTCTCTCTGCCCCTCCCCGTCTCATGCTCTGTCTCTCTCTCAAGAACAAATGAACACTAAGAAAAAATTTTAAAAAAAGAAAAAAAAGTCATCAGTGCCCCATCAACTTTTTATTATTTTACCAAAGTTATTTGTATTACCTCACTTAATTCCCAAACAATACTATTACCAAAGTATTATTATTATTCCCATTTTATATTAAATATTTCAGTCATGTATGAATTACAAAACACATGGATTATAATATAATGAATATCCATATAGATGCCTTCCACCTAAGAAATAACCCCCAGTTAATTACTCATTTTAATTTATTACATATCATTCCCATGCCATTTATGCATATTTATGACATGGCATAGGGCTATAAAGATATATAATATTACTTTTTCACCATTTAAACAAATTTTTTTAAGTTTATTTGTTTTTGAGAGAGAGACAGAGCACAAGCAGGGGAGGAGCAGAGAGAGGAGACACAGAATCAGAAGCAGGCTCCAGGCTCCTACCTGTCAGCACAGAGCCCAATGAGGGGCTCGAACGCACAAACTGTGAGATCATGACCTGAGTCAAAGTTGGATGCTTAACCAACTGAGCCACCCAGGCGCCCCACTTTTTCAACTTAAAATGCATGTGTAAATGGTACTATGATATGTATATCTATCTATCCATCTGTCTTTTTAATTTGATACGGTGTTTCACATTTTTCCATGGTGAAACATGTATCTCTGTTCCATTCGTTTATACTGCTTTATAATATGCCTTTGTATAAATACATGGCATCTTATTTATAGTCTCATATTTATGAACTTGTTTATTATAAATCTCTACTATTGCAAATATTTATGCTCATTTCTCTATTTGTCTCTTTGTGCATAAGTGCTAGGGTTTTTCTATGTCCTAGTAGAATTTCTAAGATTAAAATACATATATCTTCAACTTTACTAGATATTGAATATTACTATCTAATAGTGACTAATTTATACTTCCACTAATAGCGTGTGAGAGTTTCCATTTCCCTACATGTTTTCCAATGCTTGGTAGCCTCAGAATTTAATTTTTGCCAATCTGAAGAGTGTGTTTCACATCTTTAAAATGTATATCTTCCTGATTCCTGGTGATATTGAACATATTTTTCAATTTTTATTATGCATGTTTTCATCTGTTAATTGCCTTCCATATACTTTCCCACCTAGTAGTATATACTAGGTTCTTTGTCTTTCCCTTATTGATTCCTGATAGCTTGTTGAATTGTCAGAATAAAATTTCTTTTACATTTTATGGACTGAAAAGGCTTTGGATTTTTTTTTGAAGTTCAACTCTTCTGAATTTTTTTTTTAAATGTTCTATTTTTTTTTTATTTAAAAAAAATTTTTTTAACGTTTATTTATTTTTGAGACAGAGAGAGACAGAGCATGAACAGGGGAGGGGCAGAGAGAGAGGGAGACACAGAATCAGAAACAGGCTCCAGGCTGTGAGCCATCAGCCCAGAACCTGACGCGGGGCTCAAACGCACGGACCTCGAGATCGTGACCTGAGCCAAAGTCGGACACTTAACCGACTGAGCCACCCAGGCACCCCAACTCTTCTGAATTTTAAAAAACTTGGGGCGCCTGGGTGGCGCAGTCGGTTAAGCGTCCGACTTCAGCCAGGTCACGATCTTGCGGTCTGTGAGTTCGAGCCCCGCGTCGGGCTCTGGGCTGATGGCTCAGAGCCTGGAGCCTGTTTCCGATTCTGTGTCTCCCTCTCTCTCTGCCCCTC